CGATGAGTCGAGCCTCATACCCGAGGAAGGATGGAGTTCAGCGTGGACGATTTCCTAAAAACAGAAATTTCGTGCAGATTAACAGGAAAAATAGAGAGAGAGTATAGAAGTGTTACCGACAAATAAAAAGTGCGACTGGAACGAAAAGTCGACCAAGTGCCACATGGGAGGGCGCAGTACGGGTTACTTGCGCATTAACAAATTAGCAGTGAAGAAAACTTGCACCACCACTTCCGTATTATCGCTTGTCTCATTCACGATGATCCGATAGCAAGACAAAATCAAGACAGCCGGAAGTGGGCGTGGCAGCGGAGGCCTACAAAATTAAACAGCTCGGCTACACGTACCACACACGAGCTGGTGGTCCTCATCCCGATGTATCAGAATACAAATAATCGGGGATAAGCCAAAAGTTGAAGTAGTTATTCAGAAACCCAGCCAGCAGCCGCACAACGGCTAGAACCTTGGACAGAATAACAGAGACACGGGAGACTGGAATAACCATAGCTGGCTTATAAGCCGTCATCAACCTCCGGTGTTGCGGCATCTGAGGCAACGTCTACCAAAGTGAGCAGGTAACAGGACGGATTATGGAAGTTCCGCTTTGGCTCGGAACTTCGATCTACAGTTTATTGTGTGGTGGGGGATAGCAGATTTGTAAGTATTACTAACAAAGTCGTAGTAGACCGAGATACTAGGCCCTGACCTCTCCGCCTTACGAGACATGTTCTTCCGGCTCAAGCTAGAGTGTTCGCAGACAGTCGCATAGGGACTAATAACATTGTGCATTGAGGCTCAAGCTAGAGTCTTCTTAGACAGTCGCATAGCAAATAGTAACATGTATACAGGCAATGGAGTAGGCAGAATGGCATTAGCGGCAAAGACATGAGAGAGTGGAATAACCATTTCTGGCTCATTATGGAGTAATAAAAAAGATAAGGGAGCCTAGGATGACCATTTACGACTCGTTAGTAGGCACCAGCCAGACAGACACTAAATCTGATATTCTGACAGCACATAGAGGTAACAGCCACAAATCTGAGCGAATAACACTATGGGAGTTCCGTCTTGCAATGGGGTCTCAACGCAAAGTTCTATTGGTGAGAAAAAATGACCCGAAGTCAGACATTTCTGACTTATTCCCTGTCGCCGGGCAGCCACACCCAAAGCATGGGTCTGGAAGGTCTGAGTTAAAATCTGTGGCTAGTTGTAAATAGAGCAGTACACTCGAACGGTTGGGCCGTGGGGTAACCACAGTCGGTTGCGAATAGCAGCCCCAAGGGTCAGGGTCAATTTCACTGAACTGAT